TTGCTTCCACTGTGCTCCTGTTGTCAGGTGGAGTAAGACTCTTCTCTTCTTCAAGAATATAAACAGTAAGGGGTGGACATTGAAGTCCATCAGCTAAGATGCTGGTTGGGATGCTTGCATCTCATATAAGAGTACATAGGTGCAGTTCCTGTTCCATTTCCAACCCAGTTTCCTACTAAAACACATCATTGGAGGCCGCAGGTAATGGTTCAAGGATGCAGGTCCCTGTCACCAATGAAGGAGATTGGGATTGAGTTCTTGGTTCCTGGCTTCAGTCTGGTCCAACTTTGGCTGTTCTGGATATATGTGAAAGTTATAGGGAGAGATGGAGTGAGGAAGAGAGGGAGAGAGGGAAAAAGAGATGAGGTAAAGAGAGAGAGAGAGAGAGAGAGAGAGAGAGAGATCTTCCATTCTCTGTTTCGCTTTCTAAAAGGTCACAATGGCTGATGCTGGACAAGGTCAAAGCTAACAGCTTTATTCTGGTATTTCACAAGTGCAGTAGGGGTCCAAACACGTGGGCCATCTTTTGCTCCTTTCTTCGGTACATTAGCAAGAAGCTGGACCAGAAGTAGAACAGCCAGGACTCAAAATGATAGGTGGTTTAACCCTTTGTGCCACATCCCCAACCCCCAAACTGGAGTTAGGGTCCAAGGTTTGCAATTGGATTTCTGGCAGAGTTGTAGCATGTTTCAGAAATCAATTGTTTACCAGTAAAAGATACACCATCAATTGACTGAAGTGGGTGACGCTGGTGGCAAAGTGAGAAGAGTATGGTGAAAAGTTATTTTGGTGTCTCTATCTTATTCATTTAGGATTCTAAAATTATCTTGGTCTAGAATGATTATGTGGTTTTGAGGCAGATATACGCTTCTACTTCCCAGGTAGTGTTAACACCCGGGGATGAGCATTCATTGCTCTTCTGTGCCATACATAAATCTTTAGGATTCAACCATGAGCCTATTTGTAATAATCTCACTGAGAATAGTACATATCAGTCCAATTAGCCTGAATTTAATCTGTTCAATTCCTAAGCAAACCCCTGGAAAACAGTTGAACAATATTTCCAAAGCAGATTTTTGACATCAGCATCTAGGAACAGGCTCAGAAATGATGTCCTCTCTTCTACCAACAAAATACTACTTCATGCAATCCACTGCATCTCTCAATTGCTTTGTCCAAGTCTCAACTTTTGTAACAAAGATTTTTCTAAAACCACCAACCGGGGTGATTCAAGGCCCTTGACCATGTTATTATTTTTCTTTTGTTAACAGGTGAATCTACACAAGACAGGATAGAAATGGGACTCATTCAGTCAAACCCTCCCACCTGACTCCCATCTCCAGTCTGACTAGGGATCTGGCTCCAGCCCCAATTTCATCAGAAGCAAGGAATATGCAGATCCTAACTGCAGAAGACTTCCCATTGCCCATCACAGACCTCCCCTACAACCAGGCATAGTTAGCATAGCATAGAACCATTGACACAGCACTGTCCTGGGTAGGGAGGGGCAGTAGTGAGTAACACTGGTATTTTGAGATAAACCCAGCAGTGTATGTATGAACACAGAGCTGGGGGCCACAAGCTGAAAGACTGAGAGGGTGTGATTATGTCTCCTTAATCCTGAAAACTCCTGTTCAGCAGTGGACCTCTTACAATACACTTTCTTCTGTTTGAGCCTATATAAACAACATTTATATACTATAAATGTTGCCTGGGTAGAGCCTTGGGCTCTTGCCAATTTCTATTTGCAGGTGAGTCAAAGAAACCTGGGTGGGGGACATGGCACAGTAGCCTAGTGGCTAAAGTCCTTGCCTTGCATGTGCCGATCCCATATGGGTACCAGTTCATATTCTGGCTGCTCCATGTCCCTTCCAGCTCCCTGCTTGTGGCATGGGAAACCAGTTAAGGACGGCCCAAAGCTTTGGGACCCTGTACTCATGAGAGATCCAGAAGAAGCTCCTGGCTCTTGGCTCCTGGCATAGGATCGACTTAGTTCTGGCTGTTGCAGCCACTTGAGGAGTGAACTAGTGGATGGAAGATCTTTCTCTCTGTCTCTCCTTCTCTGTAAATCTGCCTTTCTAATAAAAGAATAAATAACTCTAAAAAAAAAAAAAAGAAAAAACCTGGGTGGGTGTTGTAGGCAGTGAAAGACCACCACCAAAATCTTTCACTGAACTTAATCTGTAGGACAAGGGCAGAGTTCTCTTTTCCATCCCTTGACGTGCTCCCCAGAGTTAGGTATTTTAGATTTCAGTACAGTTTAACAGCTGGCATATATGGAAATCTTTAAAAAACTGCTTGAAAAAGTATATGCTACAGAAAAACTATGCATGGACCTCAAACATTTCTGTACCAAAATTTCTCTTTGCCATCAACTCCCTGGTGCTCCCTCATATAGGAGCCTTGGTATTTATGCTCCTGTGCTGTTTTCAAGTTCACGACTAATGTCTCTTTTTTGTTGTCAGTTTAGAGGGTATATGCATGTTTCAGGACATGAGAGGAAAAAATAAGATTTGCATTAGGAGATGCTATATGCAATCCTCTAAAGTGTTGTAGAGACTTGAATTCCTCCAATACTTGTGGAGTGCACTCTGCGTAGAGAGGGGAAGGCAGAAATCAAGAAAGAGTGTCTATACTACAGGGTACAGTAAAGATGTAACTCCGAATTCACAGCCTGGAATTTCTTCTTGGTTCTATTTTCCTTTTCCATTGTTTCATCTTTGACACAGATTTTTAAACATTTTTTAGAGATTTATTTATTTATTTGAAAGGCAGAGTTACAGAAAAAGAGACAGAGAGGGTGTGAGAGTGAGATTGATACCTTTTAGCCATTGGTTCACTCCCCAAGTGGCAAAAATGGATAGGACTGAGCCAGACTGGAGCCAGGAACCAGCAACTTCACCTGGATCTCCCATGTGCATGGAAGAGTAGTACTTAACATGTATTTAGTGTTTGTTCTAGGTCAGTCTCTGCAAATACACAAAGAATTAAGATCTGGGTGCCAACATTCGATAGGGGTGTTGATTTATGTACTTGTAGTCCAGGTCTCTGCTATTGGCTCTGAACAGGTAGCTGAAGATGGCTCAAATATTTGGGCCTCTGCATTCACATAGGAGACCTGGATGAAGCTCCTTACTCCTGGCTTGTCTGGCCCAAACTTTGCCCTTGCAGCCAGTTGGGGAGTGAGCCAGTAAATGGAATGTCTCTCTTTGGCCATCTCTCCCTCTCTCTGAAACCTGCCTTTCAAATAAATAGATATATTTTAAAAAAATTAGCTAAGACATGGTATTTATCCTGATATAGTGTAGTGAGAAATGAAAATGATGCCCTAATGAGAGGGACCCTCGGAGCATACCCCATGTTGGGGATCTGGGATGGGTGGGAGGCTGGGCAGGGCTTCTCCATTTCTCTCTCCCCTGACCCCAGACACAGAAAAAAAAATATTAACATGCAAAAAAAAAAAAGAGAGAAAAACTATGCAGTACTGATTGATGAGATAAGGGAAGAGGATGTGGTGACTATCACAGCCAGATGCTCTGGGCTCAGGGTACGAGGGTGGCAAAGGCATCAGTACAAAAAGCACTTTCAAGGAGCATGGCTCAGAGAGAAGAGAGAGAGTATACAAGGATAGCAGAATGAAAAAAAACTGTAAGAGATTTTTTTTCTCTGTTTGATGTTAATATTTAAAGACATTTAATTGTAGATCTGAGCCATGAGAAAAGACTGGAAGGAAAGACCTGGGGAACAGAGAGGGAGTGGAAGCTGGTTTGATCCTGAGGGCAGATGAGAGACACAGATAAAGTCTTACATTTATGTCCTTTTCTTGGTTTGTCAAACACCAACATCTAAATATTTTCTTTGATGATTTGTATTTTCAAACTGGAATTTCATGATAAAAACTCTTAATTAGCCTGAGCAGTTGAAATGAGAAGTTCAATTCAGGGACTGGTGTTGGGGTATAGCAGGTAAAAAGCTGTTGACTAAGATGTGACATCCTGTGTGGGTGCCGATTCAAGCCTCAGCTGCTCCACTTCTGGTCCAACCCCCTGCTAATGGCCTGGAAAAAGCAGCAGATGATCCAAGTGATTGGGCTCCTGCCACACATGTGAGACTCAGATGATGCTCCTGGCTCCTAGATTTGGCCTGGCCTTGCCTTGGCTATTGCAGCCATCTAGGGAATGAACCAGTGCATGGAAGATCTATCTATCTATCTATCTATCTATCTATCTATCTATCTATCTATCTATCTATCTATCTATCTCCTCTTCTCTCTGTAATTCTGTCAAATTAAAAAAAATCTTAAAACATTGTTGACCTATAAACTCAAAACAATGCAGTATTATTCAGTAATACAAATGACAAGTCAGATGACATTAAATATGACTCAGATTTAATAAAACAAATTGGGTAGTCTTAATAATCACAGTGTGGTACATGCAATTCAAGTGAGTCTCTTACGTTTTTTTTTTTTTTGTCCTGAGGACAAATATTCTTGAAGCTGAGTCATAAATTACACACTGTACTCTGACAAAATTACCATTTCATGTCGTTTGAGGCAGGCCCATTATCTTGTGTTCTGTTGCCTAGCTACTGGAATTCGGGAAGTTTAATGCATTTCAAATGGATATTGAAATTTCAAATAGAATTTCATTTATGCAGTCTGCAAAAAGAGAAACTGCTGGCTACATCTGTTCACTTATATTTTTATCAGAAATCCCCGGATTTGCAAGGACTCAGATGTGCTGTGTTTTGAAGAGGAGTGTATTGATTTTCAGCAGAGGTCACTGAGCATCCTGTGTCAAGTGATGTGGAGTTTATACTAGTGGTTTTTGTTTGTTTCTGTTTTTACGATGGGCATGCATGCAAAAAACAAAAACGTGTTTCTTTGGCTTCTTAAATATTTAAGGTTTTTAGACACTGGGCTGTGTCCTGCAACCTTTGCACACATCGATGTGGAATACACACAGACATGTGCCTTGGTAGCCAGCACCATCACTTACCTGCTCCCACGCGAACACGTGCTGATTGAAATAATACTGAATCTGCTCATTTGCAATGTTAATGCACAGCTGCTCAAAGGAGTTCTTTTTGAAATTTTCGAAGCCAAATATATCAAGGATGCCAATGTTCAGCTCATCTCCTTCCCCCCTGGAAGAATTGAAACAGTAGTTTGAGTTCTGAGAGTCTCCTGAGGAAGTAAAATATGAGGCCGGGCGTCTCCAAGTTCTCGTTTTTACTGAGTCAAGAAGCTACCACTAGAATGTATGCTGAGAGTGAAATTTTGTTAACTGGGAAAGGCCCCTTTCTGTAGAACACAGAGACCATGCAGACAGCATTGATCTGAGCATGGAAATGCAACAATAATTTTAGGCAGTACGGACTCTTCCTATCCTCTGCAAACAAATGTGTGGGAAAATATAATACAACCCTGCTTTTATTTTAACAATTTTAAGATCTAGGAATGGTTTCTCTGTAACATGCATCTCCTATGTGATATGAAGAAAAAAAATCCTTCAACTAAACAAATTCATACTTTCATATCTCCACAAACTTTTGAAGTCTCATCACATCAAACAGAAGAAAGACAGTTTTCAAACCTTTGGGTTGCAAGCACAAAATCACAGCCCTGGGGGATCATGAATCATAGAGATTGCCTCATCCACATGGAGAACACAGCGATGACATGTTCACTCAAAAGCTGAACCAGAAAAGCAACGTGCTATTCAACAGCACAGTTAGCATTTAACTTTGGGAGAACAATTTAAAAAATCATACTAAAAAAATGTTAATTGTCTTAAAGAATTGTTGTTTATTTTAGGGTTATTTGCTGATAATATTGGGAACAAATGGTAAGCTGGAGAAAGACATAACTATTTAGAGATTCATTTTAAAATGAAATATTTTAATATGCAAGTGAATACTATTTTTACAAGGAAATACTTTGAATGAATTTTTTGTATTATTTCTGTTCATTGATGATTGGATTCTTGGTTTAAAAAAAAGTTGTTCCTGGAGCAAATGTTTAGTATAGCAGTTAAGATGCAGTCCTTGGGTTCAAAACCTGACTCTGGCTTCTCACTCCAACTTCCTACTAACACAGATCCTGGGAAGCACAAGTGATGGATGGCCCAAGTATTTCAGTTCCTGCCTCTCTTGTGGAGATCTGCATTGAGTGTCAGACTCCTGGACTCTGCTTTTTCTGCCTCCATTCATTGTGTTATTTGGGGAGTGAAGAAGCAAGTGGGAGGTTGGTCTCTCTCTGCTTCTAAAATAAATAAAGATTGAAAAAAAAAGATTCACCAAGAAATATGTATACTGTCATCATTATCACGTGGATTATAAAGGAAGCACAAGGTTGGCTCCTGGCTATGGATTGGCTCAGCTCCAGACCTTGTGGCCACTTGGGGAGTGAGCCAGCGGATAGAGGATCTTTCTTTCAGTATCTCCTTCTCTCTGTGGATCTGGCTTTCCAATGAAAATAAACAAATCTTTTTAAAAAGTGCAAATAATTATAAGAAAAATAAAAAGCACAGAATGGGTCTGGTGTGATGGCTCAGTGGCTAAAATCTTGGCCTTATACACCCAGGATCCCATATGGGTGCTAGTCCATGTCCTGGTTGCTCTACCTCCCATCCAGCTCCATGCTTGTGACCCAGGAAAGCAGTAGAGGATGGCCCAAGGCCTTGGGACCCTGTACCAAGGTTTCTGGCTTTGGAGCGGTTCAGTCTCAGCCATTGCAGCACTGGGAGTGAAATCAGATGGAAGATCTTTCTGTGTCTTCTTCTCTCTGCAAACCTGCCTTTCCAATACAAATAAACACATCTTAAAAAAACAATAAAAAGAAAACACAGAAGCATCTGGTTATATTCACCACTGAGCAAGGTCATGCTATGTGTTGTGAGTAGAAGTGATTAGGGAACAAGAGCCTGCAAATGTACATGTGGGCTGGCTGAAGGAGTTACCTATATTAGGAGAACTGGACTAAAGTCAGAGAATGGAGGTCCACAAGACTATAAAGAAGGGCCATGATGGACAGAAAAAAGCTCTTAGGAAACAAGGTGTCTGCTTAAAACTTGTGCTGGTTCAACCAAATGTATTAATTTTTTTTTTACAATCTCTTTACCTCACAGGGATAAATGTATATAATAATGTGCTAGAACCAAGAGGGCTCCTACTCATCTAATTCAGGGATTGTTTAAGTACCATGGCCTTCAGTGGGGCCCTTAGAATCACCAATGTTTACAGGATTTTGGTAGAGATGGATAAAAACACCCATTTGCATTTTAGAGTGACAGATACATTCTTAGCGAGGTTAGAGTCAACGATACCCACCAGCAATTTAGCCCACAGATTAGTCCTTCAGCATCTTTGACAACCAAAGAGGTAGGCTGTTAAAGAACAAGGCTGTGACTTGCCCAAGATGACATCACAAGTCAATGGTGGAGGCAGACACAGGTTACACTCTCCCCAATCTCAGAGGCAACCTTGACAGAACTGAACAAAACTACTGAAGGCGTTTTTGTTTTAGTTTTTTCAACTTCCCACAAAAGTTTCTGGACTCTAAGACTTGAATGTTTTCCGCTAGGTAGTGGAGAGCTTGAAACTCCCATTAAATGTGGATTTCCAGTACCCACATTTCCATTCTGGGTATGAGTTAATGTCCTATAAACAGATGATAATTAACAAAATGAATGGGAAAAATCTCTAAGTATCTTGCTTTAGTTATGCAGAATAAACAGATATTAAATGGTTTCTGAATTGTTCCATCTTTACACAAATGCTTCATACATTTATGGCCACATTATGAACATTTACCATTTTGACCATTAAATCGCAATGGACAAATTGGATGGTGATGTACAGTCTCACTGGCTAATTCAGAAAAAACAATTTTAAAGAACAGAGTTAAAAATTTGGGGAGCCAGGGCAGGGCCAAGCAATGGCTCAACTGGCTGATCCTCTGTCTGCAAGTGCCAGCATCTCATGTGGGTGTTGGTTTGTATCCCTGTTGCTCTACTTTCCATCCAGCTGTCTGCTTGTTGCCTGAGAGGACAGTGGAGAATGGCCCAGGGCTGTGGGACCCTGCAACCACTTGGAGGCTCCTGGGTCAGGGCTTTGGATCGGCTAAGCTCTGGCCATTGTGGCCCTTTGGGAACAGTGGACCAGGGAATGGAACCTCTTTCTCCCCTTTTTTTATGTGTGTGTGTGTGTGTGTGTGTGTGTGTATCTGTCTTTCCAATAATAAACAAATAAACAAACAAATAAATAAATTCTAAACAAATTTTGGGAAGGCATAGATCATCTCTTAGATGGTTTGAATGATTGTACATAGTTTAGTGGAAAAACAAGGATAAATAATATGTTGAAAGTGTACATTTAATAGCCTTTTGTACCCAGTAAACATGTTGAAATACGCTAATTCTAAAGTAGGCATCTAACTTGCTTTGCCACAAGTAGATTTTCTATACATAAAAAAGTGTAATTTGTGGCTTTGTAAAGTTTAAATGTAAACATAAAGATGTCTAACTGGGTATAATCTTGCGAGTATAGATACATACCTCAAGGTTCACCTTTTACTTAAAAGAGTGTGTTAACTGAGGGTAAGCTGCCACATTTTGAAAGTCACTTTCTATTGTTTCTATTAGTGATTCTATATTTATGCTATAGCAGCTGTTTCACAACTTTATGATTATAGGCATCTTGGGATGGTACCAATAAGAAATGAAGTGTATTTATTGCTATCTAAGTTTGCTAATTACACCAATTAGAAACCTCTTTAAAAATACTGATAATAAAACTGATAATAAATTTTAAATAGCCCAGATTTGGGACAGAAACTTTGATGTTAGAATATTTACTTTTGCAACGTGTCATGCTTCAGCAGACTGTTGATGCGATTGACTATCCAGCTGAAGAGTCGTCCGTACAATGTCTTAGCCATAGCGTCTCTGACATCAGCAGCTTTGTCGACGGTGTTGGGCCGTATAATCGTCTCCCCTCTAGTGACCACACAGTGGGAGGTGAGAGCTTCTTGTAGCTCATCTGCCTGAATGCAAAGCAGGGAAGCAGCTGAAACATAAACAGGTGTATAGTTAGATGGAGACATGGCAGTGAGGGTATTTCCAGAATGTAAGACTATTATTAGTTTACCTCCTTCAAATGACACAAGGAATATGTTCGCGTATTTAATGATATAAAGATAAGCTACTACTCCATGTTAATCCTGAAAACTCCTCTTAATTTTTTTTGTTGTTGTTTTCCATTGGTAAATGTTAGGCTGCTACACACAACACAGACCCAATTGGGTAATGTCAATGATCAATTATGTGTTATCAAACACAACTCCTCTGAACTGTTAACCACTTAAAGACATGAGAAATAGATTTGGTATAAATTCAGCATCATGATTATATAGCTATTTTATCTTATAATTTTATTTAACCTTATTTGGACGGCAGAGAGACAGAGAGGAGAAGGATAAAGAGGAGGAGGTAGACAGCAAGAATTTTTCATCTGCCAGATTATTCCCCAAACATCTGCAACAGCAAAAATGGGTCCAGGCAGAGTCAAGAGCCTGAATTCCGATCTAGGTCTCCCATGAACATGAATCACTACCTGCTCCTTCTCACAGAATGCATCAGCTAGAAACTGGATCAGGAGTAACAGAGCCAGGACCTGAATCAGGCACTCGATTGGAATATGAGCCCACCGAGTCTTAACTGCTTTACTAAAATGCACCCTACAGTTATTTTCAAAATTCAGACATCAATGAATAGACTACTTAGACTTCACAGGTGTATCCAAACAAATATACAAATATTTGAAGTACTTTCTTCAATATAAACAAATGAATGTTCACTTTTCTTGATGTTCATTGGCCTCACAGCACACTTCTCTTCAGTTCCATATTAAATTTACTGGAACTGGTATTATGCAATCGATTTTTGTCCTGATTGCTATGAATCCTCCCTAATAAAACACCTTGGTAAGCAGTAAAAAATGGAAAAGTACTCAGGTCCCTGCCATCCATGTGGGAGATCTGTTCCAGGCTCCTGGCTTTGCCCTGATTCATCCTTGGCCGCTGTGGCCATTTCAGCAGTGAATCAGTGGATGGACGATTCACTCTGCCTTTGAAATAAATAAAACAAATGACTAAATTTTATTAAAACTGGATGGCTGAGCCAGCACTGATTTAATATTTAATGTCAATAAAATAGTTTTGAGAATTAAAATTAGTAACAAACACGGTAAGCAAGATCAAGTTTTCATAAATAAACATCTTTAGGAACTTACGTTTAGCATCACACACACACACACACACACACACACACACACACACACACACACACACACACACATCTTCCATCCATTGCTTCACTTCCCACATGTCCTCAATAGCCATGCAGGAGCGCATGCTGGGTCTCCCACATGGCAGGAACCCAATGACTTGGGCCATCACATGCTGCTCCCCAGGGTGAGCATTAGCGGGGAGTTGGAGCTCAAATTCCATCCCAGGGATTTGATTTGGGTGCCCCTAGTAGTGTCTTCACTGCTGTCCTGAGTGACCTCTGCTAAGTTTTCTAACAGACAACCTAACTGCTCCTCACACACTCTGTACCAATTATATTCCTGTTAGTCAAAAGAACAACCATTTTAGGGATTACCATCAGTTGTAAAAATGACCAATTTGATCAGAAAAAAAAATCTTTCTATCTGCTTTTAATGGATTCCCAGTGAAGTGGAAGTTTCTTCCTTTGTATTTTACTGATGATTTGTGGTTCTTATTCCACAAACTGCTTTTTCTCCATGATTCTATTCATTTTTTTCACCATCGATTTAGAACCATTCATCATCACAACTTATGTAGAATAATGCTTTGGTTTATGTGTTGAAAATACTTCCCTTCATTTCCATTTACATCACCATTTCATTTACATTTTCCTTGTATTTTTAAAGATTTAGTTACTTTTATTGGAAATGCAGAGTTATAAAGAGAAAGGAGGAGAGACAGAGAGAAAAATCTTCCATCTGCTGACACTTCCCAAGTGGCCACAATGGCCAGAGCTGAGCCAATCCAAAGCCAGGATCCTGGAGCTTCTTCTGGGTCTCTTACGAGGGTTCAGGTTTTGGGTTGTCCTCACTGCTTTCCCAGGCCACAAGCAGGGAGCTGAATGTTAAGTAGAGCAGCTGGACAAGAACTGGCACCCATATGGAATCCCAGCATTTGCAAGGTAAGGATTAAGCCCCTGAGCCACCATGCTGGGACCCACATTCTCTTTTGTGGTGTGAAGGAATTTTAATTTTTATGTAGTCAAATTTCCAGGTTTAAAAACAGAATGTCTACTGTTGGTTTTCTGCACATAAACTCTTTCAGTCACCTCAGGAACACACAGATCCATAAGTCATAGAAGTCTGTTGGCTTTATAATTCTTTAGCTTATGCTTAAATGCATGTTTGGAATTCATTTTGACATGGAGCATATGAGAAGGATTCAACTCCAAAGTTGTAGGTTAGTTTGTCATCTCTACAATAAGATTATGGATAGAACACCACTTCTGATCATTCTGCTTGTTTCTGTTCTGAGCAAGGACTACCACTGATCTGCACATTTGTTCCCATTTTCACACTGCACATTTATGAGACATTTGTCTGGAATGTCTCCCTGGGGCTATATTGTTAAGTACAATGCCTTACAAAATAATGCCCTCATCTTGAGGGTCTTCCTCTAGAAGGAATACAAAATTAATCAGGAAATTTAGGAGAGAGAGGGAGGGAGGAGAAAGGGGAGGAGGAGGTGAGAGAGAAATTGATGAGAGCTTGCTGGCATACACTGAGTGCTTTCTGAATGAGTGGGAAGTATGGTCTACAAAGATCAGATGTAGAACAACTCAGAGGGTGCTGGGTTCATGTAAGAGGTGAAGCCTCAGCTGAGAATGGTTATGATAGAGATGACGATGAGTGCAGAGCTTTGAGATATGTTTACAGGATAGAATGGCAGAAATAGTATTCAATACAAGTCGATTGGGAAGATTGGGAAGCTCCAGATTTCCAGGCACATGCCCATGTCTACTCCCTCAGATGCTTTTTCTATACTCCAATCATCAAGCTGGCTCCATTGTCACAGAAGAACAGGGCTGACAGGGACAGAAGGTATAGATCTTGGCCAGAGCAGCCAGCATTTCTTGCTCTAAAATTACCCCTCAAACCATCTCATTCTGTCCCCGAGTGAGTACAGATTAAGAAACGAATACATGAATAAAAATTTGGGAGTGGACATTTGAAATAGTGGTTAGAACACTGTTGGGGTCCCACACCCCATGTCATGCATGGTGCCTCATTTGAGTACTGGCTCCTCTGCTTTTGATCCTGGATCCTGCTAGCTCATAGCTTGGGATGCAGCAGTGATGGTCCAAAAATTGTATCCCTACCTTTTACATGGGAGGCCTGGAAGGGCTCTGGGCTCCTGGCTTTGATTTGGTTCAGGTCTGGCTATTGTGACTATTTGGGAAGTGAATCAGCAGGTGAAAGATCCTCCTCTATAAATCTCACAAATAAAAATTTACGATAAAATGTGTATCATTGTTCCCTAGATTGTGAATGAGACATAAAAATCTAAAATTATGGAGGCAAACACTAAGAATAGAAGAATGTATTCTGAATGGTCAAAAGCCATGTGACTGTTATGTATTCCTTGGAAACCTCTAATCAAATAATGTAAAAAAATTCTACTAATAACTGAAAACTTGATTTGAAACAAGTATCATGATATACTCCTTTTGCGTAGAAGATGACTGAAAAACAAATCAACCAGGTCAAATGGTTCCATAAAACCCACCAGTTTGGAGCTAGCTAAGTTTCATTACTTGTGAAATGATACAGACATTAAATATATAAGACAACCCTTTTTCCTATCAGTTTGCTAAATTTTAATTATTTTTTTTAAGATTTATTTATTTTTATTGCAAAATCAGATATGCAGAGAGGAGAGACAGAGAGGAAGATCTTCTGTCCATTGATTCACTTGGCAGCCGCAACAGCCAGAGCTGAACCAATCTGAATCCAGGAGCCTGGAGCCTCTTCCAGGTCTCCCACGCAGGTGCAGAGTCCCAAGGCTTTGGGCTGTCCTCGACTGTCTTCCCAGGCTACAAGCAGGGAGCTGAATGGGAAGCAGGGCTGCTGGGACTAGGACCAGTGCCCATATAGGATCATGGTGTGTACAAGGTGAGGACTTTAGCTGCTAGGTTACCTTGCCAGGCCCTGTTCATTGTTTTTACATTTAAATACAAACAACTCCTGAAATAACGTTAAAAGCCTAATCACTAGAAAAATTTTCTGTAGAAATGAGTTTGTCTGTAAGCAGGAAGACCTGTTTCAAATAATAAAATTTTAAAGTTTCATTTTAGGGACTGGTGCACAAGGTAAGCTAAGCTTTGCCCTGGTCCAGCATCCTGTGCCGATTCACATCTTGGCAGCTCCACTTCTGATCTAGTTTCCTGATTACGGCCTGGGAAAGCAGTGGAGGATGGTTCATGTCTTCAAGCCCATGCACTCATGTGGGCAACCCAGAGGAGGCTCCTAGATTTGGTTTTGGATCAGCTTAGCTCTGGCCATTGTGGCCATTTGGGGGTGGACCAGTGAATGGAAGATCTTTCTCCGCCCTTCTTTCTGCAACTCTGCCTTTCAAATAAAAATAAAATTCATCTTTTAAAAATATTTCATTTGAGGCACACTGTATCTGAGTCTCCTGATAAAGAACCCAGGTAGGTAATATTGCCTGAAATTGTCCATGTGTGACACAGGTGGTCACACATGCACAGGTATGTATGATCAAAGAATGGACATCATGCAAGGCACATGTGGTCCTGCATGGTCGCTATGGATACACATAGTCATGTCTGGTCAGAAGACGAGAGACAGCTTCCGAGGGAAGACCGCAACACTCACAGTTCTCCAGGGCTGTGTGGTTGCAAATGTGGCTCTTGTCAATCTGGTGTTCGGTTGCCACGGAAGAAAAGTCAATGTTCCCAATGTTCAAGATGGCAGCAAGTATACTGTACACACTTCCAAGTTGCTGAAACACACAGAGAAACGTCACATTATCCTATCCTGAGGCAGTGACTGGGGCCGGGGATGGAGCAGGGGGAGAAACCTTGGGCTGCAGCACGAGGAACCTACAGACTACGACCTCAAAGTAAGAGTTCTGAGAGGACAAGATTCCATCAGGCCTGGCTTCATTAGTGATTGCATTTATTTACTCTAAGTTCATCTGAAAGGCTGAAGGACAGACAGAGATCTTGCATCTTCAAAGTTCATTCTCTAAGATCCCGTAACAGCCAGGAGTAGGTCGGGCCTCAGTCAGGAGCCAGGAACTCAGTCCTGGTCTCCCTCCTGCGTGGCAGGAACAGCCCCTGCTGCTGCTTCCCAGGGTGCACAGGAGCCTGAAGCTGGACCTGGAGAGGAGTGAAGACTTGACTCCACACGCTCTGCTAGGAGATGTGAGTGTCCCAAGGGGCATTTTCATCCCTTTACCAAGCACGTGAGTGTGGGTGCTAGTACACATCTCCCCCAAGGTCTTAGGGAAGTGAGATGAGATATGTGGCAAAACGAAAGTTAAGAGAGAAAACGATCAAAAGATGCGAGCACCTAGAACAGAGGGTCTCTGCGGTTCAAGAACAGGCGTGAGACCCTTGGATGGCAACCTAGACTCCTCGGTAGTTATTACTTTATAGTATAAGTTTCTACACAGGGTAGATCCAAAATAAATACAATTACACACACATATGGATATATATCAACACACATGTGTGTATTTAAACATATATATATACATGATCACACATATATACATTCATGAACACATACATACACATATGCACACGTGGATTCACATTCCTATGATTCTTCTTAGTATTACTAGGGGCATCTTTTCAGAAAATCTATAGTAATTGTAGGCATTATTTCAACTTTGTTTATAGCATAGTGAATTGGAGGAAGGAGAAAAAATCCTTTATTTTTTTTCACGTTGCTACATTCTTGGAAGATAAGATACTAAACAATAAAAATATTTGTTGCTTTCATTTTAGAGGTGGGATGGTAGATGAGGCCTGGATGGAATGGAGAGTGGGGCAATGGATGGATGGGTTGGTGGGTAGGTAGGTGATGGAATATGTGGATGGGTGGGTGGGCACATGGGTAAATGAAATTGGCAGGATCTATAGCTTGAAAAAGTCTCAACTTTTGCATCTCCAACATGGTCTTCAACATTCAGTCAAAGAAGGTTTTGAATCTTCACAACCAGAATGTGAGTGCAGGTGGAAATGGTGTCACTGTGCATGCTGTTCATTACACTGAGATGAGTGACTGATGTCCTCTCGAAAAATCATGTCATGCAAAGATACACACACAAGAAGGATGCCACACAAAGATGGATAAAGGTAGTGGTCGGGGAGAGGGGGTGTACACCTGTCCCACGACACTCAGCAATGACTGCTACCGGAAGCTGGGAGGGAAGCAGAGAGCGGAGTCTCCCTCACTACTCCTAGAAAGTAGCAACCCTGCTGACATCATGAACTTAGCCGTCACGCCCCCTTAACTGTGGATGACACAAATCCAGACTCAGATGTTTGTTATGGCACCCTCAGCAAACGTACACAGTATGGGTGATTTGGGGATAAATTTGTAAGATATGCAGTTGTGGGGCAAACAATATTTAAATCTTCATTGCGGGGAACCTTTAAGATCATATTAGAGACTTGACAAATAATCCAAAAGTGGATCTTATGATTTGACTTAAACACTTACTTGATATTATGCTTATCAAATTTTTTAAACATTATTTTTTTGAAAAACAGGGAGGAGCTGTGTTAGGCTAATCTTCTTCCTGCATCCAATTTGGGCACTGGCTTGTGTCTCAGCTGCTCTGTTTCCAATCCAGCTCCCTGCTTGTGGCCTGAGAAGGCAGCAGAGGATGAGTCAGGTCCTTGGGCCCTTGGCTCCTCGCTCCTCATAGGAGGCCCAGAAGAAGCTCCTGGTTCCTGGCTTTGGATATACTTAGCTCCAACTGTTGCAGTCATTTGGGGAAGTGAACTAGCTGAGGGAAGCCCTATCTCTGCTATTCTCTCTGTAAAAATATCTGCCTTTCAAATGAAAAAAAAAAAATCTTAAAAAAAAAAAGACAGGGAGGAGGAGAGAGAAAGAGAGAGAAATTTTCATATCGGCCATTTCATTCCCTAAATTCATGCAACAGCTGGGGCTGGGGCAAGTGGAAGTCAGGAGCCTAGAACTCCTTCTGGGTCTCCCATGTGAGTGATATGGGCCCAGGGACTTGGGCCATCACCTGTTGTCTCTCAGGATGTGCATTAGTGGGAAGCTGGAACCAGGAGCAGAGCTGGGACTCAAACCCAGGCCTCTGGTATGGAATTTGGACATCCTAAGCTGTCTTAATATCTGTTCATTATAGTTTTAATTTGAAATGTGTAATATTATTTTATTGCAAATCACATCCAAATGTATAAGAAAACTTAATTTCCTCTGTTAAGAATTCTGACTTATTAGATTTTCAGGGTTATTAGATTTAAGAGTTTAAGATTTAATTAAGTGATTAGAGAAATCAGAAAGTGTTCCTCAATCCTTGTAAGCTTCTTCTGTCATTCAAGAATGTTTAAAAGATCAGAATGCACTGTATTTTTTTTAAAGGTTTAGATATTTTAAAAATCTGATGTGTTTATTCAGGGCAATTTATATTTATGAGTTAAGTGAACACATAATGGAAAATTATATCTGTTTTAATGCAAAGATCAGTAGATTTAATTGTAAGGTAAATGTAGGTAGAAAATAAAATATTAAGGAAAAACTGTATACTTTGTTTCAATATCATTAATATATCAAATTAATCAAGTACAAGTGACTGTAAATCATCTTACTTGAGGGCAACCATGCTCTTTGAACAAATCAGACAAGTCGCAGGTGAACTGCCGGCACTTGGTTTCGTATCTGTTGGTCAAGATCAGAATCATGGCTGGCATGCTTGGTGAGTCCTCTGGCCTTCCACTCTCCAATCCATTGTTCACAAGGCCAAACAGCAATCTTTCTAGCAGGCCAATCAGACCAACTGTGTCTCCAGTTACAAAACTTCCATGGCCTCTATCCCATCGGGGACAGTTGGCTTCTTACCAAGGCATACAAAGAAGACCTCTGCATTTCCGTGTCTGTGTGGTGTCTACTCCCTTTTGGGGCCACTTTTCACAATCAGCAGCCAGACTCCTCTAAGGAACTGGCAAATCCACATGCAAATATCAGGCCTAGTTTTGACTTACACTGTTCTTTCCCCCTGAGTCTTCACACACAGTCTGCTATTTATTTATAATTATTAGAAAATAAGAGAGGGGGTTGTCTGGGAGGATTGGATAGAGGGAGAAAAAGAGAGGGGCTGATTATATAGCTGTTGGTTCACTGCCCAAGTGACTGCAATAGCCAAGGCTGGGCAAGGCTGAAGACAGGACCTGGAGCTCAATCCAGGCTTCCGATGTGGGTGGTAGGAGTCCAAGCATGTGTGCCCTCACTTGTTGACTCCTAGGATACACATCAACAGGAAGCTAGATCAGAAACAAGGCCAGGCTTGAACTCAGGCACTCTGATAATGATTGTGAGCACTCCAAGCACTATCTTAACTGCCGTATCAAATGCCTGGCTCTTAATTTGATTTTCAATTTTTCCTAGGACGACTAAGCAAAAATAACTTTCTTCCTACTTTAATCAATGGTTTTACTTTTTCAAGATTTATTTATTCATCTGCAAGGCAGAGTTTATACAGAGAGAATGCATGCACATGTGAGCGAGTGCTTCCCTGTGCTGGTTCACTCATAAAATGGTCACAATGGCCATAGGTAGGCCATTCTGAAGCCAGGAACCAGGAGCTTCTTCTGGGTCTCCTACATGGGTTCAGGAGCTCAAGGACATGGGCCATCCTCCACTGCTTCCCCAGACCAGTACAAGGGCGCTGAACAGCTGGGACTCAAACCAGCATCCCATAGAGCTGCCACAGACTGAGGCTTAACTTGGAATGCCATTGTGCTTTCCTCTTTCATAACATTCTTTTATAAAAAAATCATCTGATCATTTCACTAGATGCAAAAACCATCTGACAACATCCATCATTCCTTCATGATGAACATTCTGAGCAAATTAGGTATTTAAGGACAGGTCTTGACATGTGAAAAATCATATGAAACAAACCAACAGCTAACATGACATTGGGTGGTAGAAAGTTGAAGGCCTAATACCTGTAAGAAGACAAAGAAGCCCATTTTCACCACTCCTAGTCAATATGCCACTAGAGGATCCAGATAAAGCAATTAGACAAGAGAAAAAAATAAAAGGAATCTGAATCTGGAAAGGAGGAAGACAAATGGTCACTGTTTGCCCATCTACTTTGCTTTTTAGATGAGAGGCCAGCAGAGCCCTGCAGAGTCAGCTGGAACTGCACTAAAGATCTTCACAAAATCAGAGGGAATGTCAGGAAATTCGTGGGAAATGGGATGAGAAGATGGGTTAATTTCGCTATAAATATTTGCTTTGGAAATCTGTAGACATCTTCAAAGAGTTCAGGTGTTGTGGTGCAGCCCATTAGGCTACCACTTGAGATGCCTCCATTCCATATCAGTCTCCTGACCATTCTGTTTCCAGTCTTGATTTCTAACACCTGCTGTGTGGTAGCAGATGAGGCTCAGGTGATTGGTCCCCATTTTCCATGTGGGAGATCCAGACGGAACTCCTGCCTACTGGCTTTGGTGTGTTGGGAATAGAGCAGCAGGTAGAAGACTCTCTCTCTCTCTCTTGTACTGCCTTTGAGCAGATAAAAATAAATATATTTTTTAAAGTTCATGAAAAATTAATATTATGAAAAAATTCTGCAGACTTCAAGTTTTTTTTTTTTGGCAACTAAGCAAGCTTATCTTCTAATTCTATTTTCCATGAAGTTTGAAGTCCCTTCAAATCCCATGGTGGCTGCATTTCACTCCCAGAAAACAGATATTATATTTCCCTCCATCCTAAGCTATATGCTTATGTGTTCAATAAACAGTAATTTAAACTTAGAACCTATGCTTTAAGATAAATGAATGATATTTGTCAGTACACGCAAACTGCAAAGCTGGCTTCATCTGAATGTTACTGAACATTGCTCTACCAAGCAAGACAAAGCCCTTGCACCAAATGTAGGGTAAACTTTGCCTCTAAGGATGGGGACTCAGAAGTAAACAGCGAATTAAAAATGATTCCTTACTTCTTAGCCTCCAGGGGACTGAATGAGTAAGAAGCAAATCTGATTAAAACAGAAAAAAAAAATCATGGAAAAGTGGCACCAGGAGGCTCAGTCCTTGCTCTGGTGGATGCATAGAGTCCTCCAATTTGGAGGATGCCTTGAGTTCCCAACAGAGCCACGACATGGTCCCAAAGGAGTGTCTGCTACTAGTGACACTACTTTGACAGCCATTGACAGAGAAAAAGGGTGGACACTGCTTTGCTCTTTTATTTGCTGCACTCCAAACAAAGTGGCTCTTCTCTAGAAGTTGAGATACTTACATCCAATTGTCTGCATCTGGGAGAATGAGGATCTGCTTAAGGGGGACTACAAGCAGGAAGTGACACAGAAAGGGGTGGAACCAGATTTGAATTTGATTTGGGCAGTGGGATGTTAATGAAGATGCACCTGAAAGTAGCCACAGCCCGAAAAGTTTGGATTTAAGTTAACGAGCATTGCAATAGAGACAGCAGAAAATGTCTCTTTGATTCCTTTGCATCTAACTTGGGATTGGTTAACAGTGTGCTGAAACTCAGGGACTCACAAGATATGAACCCACTGAGCCAGACCAAGAGCAAAGACTCAGAGGCCCCCATGATGTCTGGGACTCCATGATTAGAGGATGACATTGGAATGATAACTGCAACAGGCTGGCATCTGGGGCCTCCTGGACGTGTCCCCCATGGGTTGGCTGCATTTCTCAGGGGAGGTCACCCAGCACTTGGAATATAGCTGAAACTCATGATCCTGAGTTGGGGCATCTGTCTCCCAGAGTTTACGCCACTGCAAACATATTTATCTCACCAGCTCCCAAAAGACCTGTGTTCTCAAAATGGACCAGAATCACATGTCTGACTCTAAAGCCTACAGTTCAGAGCTTGTTCCCAAAAGGCAGTCAGGTAAGGTCAGCACCACTGCTCTCTGCCTGGTCCCATACTCAGCACTTAGAGCCCATGGGGTATATAATAGTGTACCTTGCTCCAGCATGATATATCCACATTGAGTTCCTTAGCAACAAGAAATCTTGCAGTGGTCCAACTCTTACTTGGTCCCATTGTTGTCCCCCCAACTCTCCAGTTCTGATGGGCCAAACAAGTTCTCTCATCCCCAAATACCAGTCCAGACACTTGTCAACTTCTGTTGCTGCTTCTTTTTGGGGAGGGTGATGTAGATGGTGGTGGGAATGAAAATTCCATCCTGGCCCTGTGTCACTAGGAAAAAGTGCTTCAGAGTAGCGGACCACAATAAAGAACTATCTGCAAGCTTCTTTAAGGGTCTGCAGAGAGATCTTAGTAAGTGATGAAGTTTTGGTCTGTTATGGAATTAATTAAGCAGAAAGGTGGGACCCATATGTTTTCTTGCTGCCCTAGAGACCACGAAACCACTGAGTTTCCAGTCAGCAGCCATTGGGTGGGCAGCTTGAGTTGCCAGCCCAGATTTCAGGCAGTATCTGTTCATCAATGGAGACAACGCATCACTCAGACATGAAGAGGATCAAGGTGAAGTCTCTACGCCTACAAGTGATTCAACATCAAGACTTCCTGGAAGTAGAATATTTGCCTCAGGATGCATTTGGCATTGACTTGCCGCTGAACCCAGAGTACAGCTGCCCCCTCTTCCAGATACTTCACAGTGTCTTGGAAAAAACCTGAGAACTCTTGGGAGAAATCATTGTAGTAATTCCTCTTCTCTTCCAAGAAGAGTTCATTCTCTGATTGGTGCCTTTATTTCCTCGACTTCTCTTGCACAGAATGGTGCCTACAACTAATGAATTCCCAGAGAATCAGAGGGGTGGGGTTTATTCTTGGATTTGTAAAGGTGACCAAGCAGGACATTGTCCCAGGTGTTGGAAGAGGCCAACACTACAACAACTTACTCTTGAAGTTGGAACATTCCACAACAACCATTTCTCAGATCAGGATACCTCAGACCACTCTGACAGTCTTTATTCCAGACACTATTTAGCTTCTCAATTTAACAAAATGCATTTCATAGTGATTTTGGTTTCTTAAGTGTGAGCATCCAGTGCAAATACACACACACACACATCTCCTTCACAAAGTCCCTATTAAGAAAACTTTCAATCACTCAATGAGTATTCCATTTGTTCTTTCTCATGTCTGATTCATCACCTTGGATTTACTGTGATGGAGCACTCAAGTTCGCTAAGGAATGAAGAACAATGGTCATCCTGGATTTACTTAAACCTCCCTCCCTTTAAAGCAGGTGCCCAAGGTCAAATCAAAACAAAGGCCACTCCTCTGTTCTTCTCCAACCTCACCCCTTTGGCACAGGGCCCACTGCTTTCCCTAGAGGGGAGGTCCTGCCCACTTCCCATCCAGGGCTGCACCAAGGGCACCCAGGAAGCGGCCAAAACTCCCAGAGAGAAGGCAGGGCAGGGAGAACTGCTGTCGTCACAGCTCAACAGCAGATGTCCCACAATTGGAGAATGTGCACTTCTTAGCAACAGCCTTTTATCTGCACCAAGAACATCTTGCATGATTAGAATACTGCTTTCTGGTAGTATGGACACAGCTGGTCCATAACTGGTGGGTGTGGACACAGCTTGAGGGTCTACAGAATCTTGTGAGCCTTTTCAGAGGACAGTGGCTAAAAGCCGGGCTCCCATTCAGAGGGATGCCAATTATCACCAGATCTGAAACAACCCTGAGGACAATCAATAGCTGAGAACTGGGTTTGAGAGCTTCTCTTAAACCCTATGGGGATCGATACTAAACAAGACACTTTGTTACAAAATTGAAAAACGTTGCCCATGGGACTGAAGGACATTTTTATTACTAAGGGGGAATAGATGGATAGCTCTAGTCTCTTGTTAAATAAGGAAAATCAAGAAATACAGGAACCAAATGTTCCCCTTAAGAAAAAGGACAAAGGAAATCAAACAACTATATTACTAAAAAACATAAAAATAAAATTGCATTTAGTAGGGCAGTTAATCAAAACATTTAAAATATTTATAGGATGGGCAAATATATTCAATTGTTTTTTTTTTAAGTGATACAAAATATTTCCTTATTTATTTGGCAGTTGAGAAAGAGAGAGAGGAAAAATATTTCATTTACTGGTTTACTTCCCAGATGGCTGCAATGGCCAAGACTAAGCCAGGCTTAGTCAAGAGTTTCATCTGGTTCTCCCTTGTAGGGTACAGGGGCCCAAACACCCGTGACATCTTCTGTTGCCTTTTCTAAGCCTTTAGCCTGTAGATGGACAGGAAATGTAGCAGCTGGGACATGAACCTGTGCTCTTGACAGATGCTGGTGTCGCAGGCAGCAGCTTTACATACCACGCCACAACACGCCCTCCCCACCCCATCACTTTGTTTTTTAAAAGATTGAGAACTAAAGATAAAAGAAAGTGCCATAACCTGAAAAAGTATCCTTGGTGAGAATGAGAAAGGAAACAGAGGCATAGATAGTCTTATGTGAAAATTCAGTGAGCAAATTTGTGACATGACATTTGATGACAATGTCTTAGCAAAATGCAAATTATCCCCAAAGAAAAGAAAACATTTGAATAGCTAATTATCATAGAAGACTCACAAAGGTGACAGAAAGACCAGGGAACCCATGCCAAGTACTCAGCAAGACGCCGCTCACATGAGAGCTGGTTCTAATGCAAGGGACAGTCACTTACTTCCATTGTAAAACCTATGACTTTGAAGCATTGCTCAATTAATTCATACTGAGATTTGTAGAAACTATTATTCATCATGTCTTGTGTTGTTCTGAGATGGTCATTTTGTAGGTACCTGGAAAAAAAAAATCACCAAAGAAAAAGTGAAGAATGAAAAAGGAAAAAAAACATCTGCAATGGAGCAGAAGAGGCAAGTTTCACTCACGAAGGCGCGACGCGCTAGCTCACCTGGGGAGCCTACTCTCCGGCAATTTATACAGCGCCAGCTTCTTCTTCTCGGCCAAGCCAGCATAAACGTAGTAGAAAATATGGAAATTTTTTTCTCCACTGGAAAAATAAGACATCCAGTAAGGTTATCTCAGGAAGCCTGTTTTTTGACCGCTAAGATGACTTGGCAATGCAATTATCAGAAGGACAACAGCTGTGAGTGCTGGCGTGGGCCTGAGTGAGGGCTGTGTCTCCGTGACTGCTCTTGTTGTCACCGACTGCAAACAGCACCGCGGTCATTCACTTTCAGACCTGGTGAGGATGCCTTGTTTTGAAGCAGTTGTGGACACTTGTAACTGATCCCCAGGCATTATTTTGAGCGCTGAAAGATCCAGCAGGAGGAAAACAATCACAGATCCTTAAGCTGGAGCAGACAAGAAATGAAGCAAGCGATGCAGAAGCCTAAGCGTGACATGCTCTCATTGAGCTGCCATGCCTTCCTAACTTTCTAGACAAGGAAACAGAAGTTTAAAGCTGGCCATCCCTCCATAAAGTCATGTGACTGAGCTGATGACCACGCTGCATTCAAAGCTGGACAACTTGCCCTGAAACCCATGTTTTGAACATATGTGCAAGTGGCTTTGCTGAAACTCTCATTTTCTCCCTTGCATGAGTGATCTCTTTGTCATAGTCCCGAATCCGTGGGTCTGTCCCCTTTCCTTGGCTGGGGCAGGCTGTCAGGACAATCCACCTGCTCTCAGGATCTCCTCTAAGTTGAAGAGCCTCCTGTTTGGCAGCTTCCCCCATCTCTGCAGTCCTCTCCTGGGCCCTGCTTTGTCTCTCAGCTTCAGGTCTTGGGTCCTGGAAGAGTCCTGCATTTCTCTAGTGGCAACCCCTCACTTGCTTCCTGTGCACTGCTCCTTAACTGAACAATGCCATTCCATACCCCAAGATGCTGTTGTCTTCATTTTGCTGTCCATTTGCTGTCAGGATAGAACTCTCTTCTCATGACTAAGCTTTGCATGTAATCATAGAAGGGCTGGGTCCCGAGATGTGGTGACCCTGGACATTCCTCTCTGTCACCCTGGACAGTGGTTGAGGTCAGTTCTAGGTCCTTGTCCCTCACAACTCCCACAGATAGCCTCTGGGGGCAGCCGTGTGTCCCCTCTGGTCTGGCCTTTTCCCAGTCTACCACACAAACTTCATTAGCTTAAGTGATGGTGAAGTATTTGCAGGAAAGGAATTACTGTAAGTTACTTTACCAGAAAAGATCAGAAAGGATTTTAGAACTTTTCTCAGTCACCACTTCTTGTATATTATGCACTAGAATGTCAGTGCGGATGGAAATTTTGCCTTTGTTCCCTTTGAAACTTATTTATTTCTTCAACACACATATAATATTTCTTTAGAATCTATAGTCACACAAGCAGAGTCATGCATATTTATTTTCCCAATGACACAGTAAAAGATGTTTGGTGTTTTAGGATGTATGTTACTCCATTTTACCATCTTTAGTTTTGGCTCCAGATTCTGCCAAAAAACAATTACAAGATTAATTTATTTCGATATTTATTTTCACTTAGTTTGAGAGAGAGAGCAAGAGAGAGACAGCTCTTCTACCTGCTGGCTCACTCTTTCATTGCCTACAACAGCTAGATTGGAGATGCCAAAACCAAGGTGCCCAGAACTCCATCCAGGTCTCCCTTGTGGGTGTTAAGGATCCAAGAACTTGAACCATCACCTGAGCCTCCCAAGACGTATATTCACAGGAAGCTGAATCAGAAGCAAAACACTCACATGGGGACATTGGGGCCTCACAATCTCACTGCTGCATCAAATGAGCTTAACCACTAATCTTGCTCCATAGAATAATTTTTGTAGGCACTCATCAAAGGTTCCACACACAATCCATGTAGATGCTCGACAACATTGCTGAAGCATTGCTATTAAGATCACATTGGTTAGCTGCTGAAGTATTCCACTGGGTCTTTTCTGAAGGTTAAAAAATAGAAATACTTCCTATGTGAGTGTGGGGAGAACTTGATAAAGTGCAACATGCAAGTTTTGGTTCTTATTAGGAAAGAAGTGAAAAAAAAAAAAATAACAGTGCTACTGGGTAGCTTGTGTTCTTACTGAGATGACTTTATCCCAAAATCTGGCCAGAATTCAGACATCCAAGAAATCTAAATCTTTCAGGCGTCTGAGTGTGAAGGAACTCAAGTTCATGATAAAATAACAGCAGAAGAAAGAGGAAGAAGCAGAGAGATGTGAGGGAATGATTAGAGAGATGAGCTCGGGACAGCCGCCCAGGCACAGTGTGCATTTCTTAGGGAAGGAGACACACAGAGGACCACATGTTATTATGTGAACGGGTCATTGTGTGCCCATCACAGGACACACTGACACAGGCTGGGACAGCTGATAATTTAATCTTATAGGAACACCTTTGCTGGTGCAGGTGGCTGTTGACCAAAATGTCCTTACACGGTGTGTATTTAGACATAGAAAATGAAAGCAGAGGAGATGGTCTTGCATAAAGTGAGGAGGATGGGGCCATTGCAAAGTGGAACTGTGGAAAAGCTACAATGTTGGGAAGTGCACTCAGCTGACTTTGCAAGTGGTAGCAGGATGTTTAGGTAGTTGGAAATGAAAAAAAAAAAAAACTTAGTAGAAAGAGAGCAAAAGCCTCTGTGTGTGTCAACCACTCCGCACTATCGAGGCCATAATGTCACAGGCAATTTTCAGGTGCGGTTTTAGAAAAGAAAAGCCTTGTCAATGGATCTTTGGGAAGCAGACATTCAGGAGATAAGTGGTTGTCAGCTCTGACCAGGGACTCCTAGATACTGACATTGCACTTGAGCCAGGATAGACCCAAAACAGGAGTTCAGTTTAGGGCCCTGTCATGTCTGCCGGCAGAGAGAGGAACATGCTGTCAGACTTCCATAGCCCATGATTAAACTGGCTTTGTTCTGAGGAAATCACAGCGTTTGAGCTTTAACTACACAACGTTCCATTAAGGGAAGTGACTCACAAATGTAGACACCCCAAATGGATGCATTTCTCCTTATTGTCCATTTACATTTACCAAGAACTGTAATTTGACAAGGCCAACCGGTACTATGGGAAATTTACTGATCTTGCATGGATAGATGGAAATGAAGATACTGGACAACGAGACCCCTTGGTTCAGCCATCTCCTATCTGCCTTTGCAAGGAACATCGACACTGCAACTAAGGAGACACAGTGCACCATTAGCTTCCCATGTGGGCTCAAGGGATCTGTACTTCCAGGTTAGGACATTCTGGGGTCAGGGTGGTCACTTGCTTTGGACCCTGGTGACCTTTCATGTAGCTGGAGCCTCGGACACTCCCTTAACTTACCTATGAAACTTTGGAATCTTTGAGAAAGTGGTTAACAACAGGGCTGGGACTGCTGAGATTGAAGCTTTGTATTCTTTGGACCCCAAAGGGTATTCCTAAAAGGATTCTTTTGGTTTCATAACTTTTTATTTGAAGTTCCCCTCTCTGGGAATACCCTTCCACACCTGACCGCTTACCTGCTCACGCTCAGCAGGGGAAAGCATTTGCTGCTTTCCTGGGAGTGCCCAACAAACTTTGTCTCCAGGCATAGGATCCATTTTATTACCAGAACCCATTTTTCTTTAAAAAATGTTTATTTATTTTAATTTTAAAGGCAAATTTAGAGCAGAAAAAGAACACACACACACACACACACACGACACGCACAAACACAAAAATATCTTCCATCTGCTGGTTCTTTTCTCAAATGGCCACAATGGCCATGATTGTGTCAAGCTCAAGTCAGGAGCCAGGAGCTTCTGTGTCTGCCAGGTGGGTGCAGGGTCTCAAGGCTTTGGACTGTCCCCAGTTGCTTTTCTAGGCCATAAGCAGGGAGCTGGAGGGGAAGTGGAGCAGCCAGAGCACAAACTGGCCCATTTGGGATCCTGGTGTGTGCAAAGGAAGGACTATAGCCAATTGGGCCCGATCCTGTGTTTTTAGGGTTTAATTACCTGAATCAAGGCAGACTAACACCTTATGGAAGCAAAATTTATTTATTTATTTTTATTTTTTTTTAAAGATTTATTTTCTTATTATTTTTTCATTGGAAAGGCAGATATATACAGCAAGGAGGAGAGACAGAGAGGAAGATCTTCCGTCCGAAGATTCACTCCCCAAGTGAGCGCTATGGCCGATACTATGCCGATCCGAAGCCAGGAGCCTCTTCAGGGTCTCCCACGCGGGTGCAGGATCCTAAAGGTTTGGGCCGTCCTCGACTGCTTTCCCAGGCCACAAGCAGGGAGCTGGAAGGGAAGCGGGGCTGCCGGGATTAGAACCGGCGCCCATATGGGATCCCGGGCATGCAAGGCGAGGACCTTAACCACTGCGCCACCGCAACGTGGCATCGTTGATCAGAGCATTGATTTGAGTCCTAACTTCTCCGCTTCCGATTCAGCTTCCTTCTGGTGCACCTGGCAAGGCAGTGAAAGATGGTTCAAATGTTTGGGCCTCACTTGGGAGACCAGAGGAGTTTCTGACTCCAGGTTCTAGCCAGGCCAAACCTTGTTGCTGCAGCTACTGGGGCAGTGAACCAACAGATGGAAGATCTCTTTCTGCCTGCTTCTCCCTCTCTGCCAGTCTTTCAAATTAATCTTAAGAAAAAAAATAAAACTAATGTAACATATAACAATGTACAGTATATTTTAGCACAACGTCTTATTCAAATCTTACACTTCAAAATGTAATCTACATATCGGTAGTACATATATATTTATAATCATCAGAGTACAAACTCAGTGCATAATTATAGCTTCGCTGTAAGGATAAGGAAGATGTTTTGGAATCATTACACAGGGGCAAAATTTTGTCATCCAACTACAAACCACCAGAGAAACACATTCAACCTGACATCAAAGCCTGATGAACAGCCAATAGGACTTGAATGTGGAAACAACCACAAGTGCAACATAGTAACATCCAATCCCAACTCTTTTTTAGTTGACCCCTGTGTGCAAGCATAGGGAGAAGAGGGTTAATAATGACATCTATACATATAAAGCAGCATTTACCCCGTGATAGACTCATGTTGTTTTATGAGGCAGCATGATTTTCAGGTCTGGTGTTAGCTACTCTGCCAGATGCCACATACATGAGATGAGGACAGTGTGGGGGCCCTTTGTTTCTGTAAGTTACTGCTTTGCTTGTAGTTAGTAATCAGCATGCTTCTGTTGAATAACAAAGGCATTTTCCTAATAACAAAGGCATTTTAAATTTATTACCTAGTGCCTCCCAGAAAACGGTTCTGGACATGAACTTACATGGCTTGATGGATAACTCGGGACTTCTCCAGAAGGTATTCAGAAATCTGTGCTCCCACTACAGCTCCTGAAGAGGTGAATTTCATTTCTAGGTATTTTCCAAACCGGCTGGAATTGTCGTTTATGACTGTACAGGCATTGCCAAAGGCTTCCACCAACTTGTTCACCTGTAGTATCTTCTCCTGCAATGCTCTGTTGTTAGCCTAGGGAGAGAACAACAACATCTTTAAAACACTGGTGAAAAAAATTTCAAGTGTAACAAAATATCTTCCTCTTTTAAAGTATTTATTTAGAGCAGTGAGTGGACCAGGGGCAGGGGAGGGGACTGGTCTCAGTCCATATCCTCAACACAGTGAAAGTCATGCCCAGAGAATCTGCATAACTCAGGGAGCAAAGAGGTTTTGTGAATTCAGAAGTAGATTGGGTGGAGGGAAATTAGTTCAACTAGATTAATTTCCAGGGTACACCATTGTTATCTTGTTGACATTAGCTGTGGTAAAGGCACAGCAGTCTCCCAAACTGAGGCAGCCCGAGCAGGTACTGTTTTTGGAAGGCAGGCTCTATCTGAATTTGAGTGGATGGACTGGAGGGGTATTCACAGAGGGTTGTGAGGCTGTCTGGTGACTTAGGTTGTCTTCCCCAAGAGGCAATAAGAAATAAGGAAAGGGCTAGGTATTGGTACAACCATTAAGATGTTGGTTGGGATACCTGCATCACACATAGACTGCCTAGGTTTCAGATTAGCTTCGCAGCTCGCCCCCAGTGTGCATTCTGTGAGGCCATGGTGATGGCTCACGTAGTTGGGGCCCTGGAGACCTTGACTGAGCGCTCAGCTCCCAGCTTTGGTCTGGCCTGGTCTCAGCTGTTGCAACATTAGAAAATGAATGAACAACTGGGAGTAGAGAGTGACAATATGGACCTAAATTGTAGTCTCTTTTGAAAAGTTGGAGGCATTCGGCACAGGAATTAAGATGCCACCTTGGGACAGCTACATCCCCTACCACAGTGCCTAGGTTTGAGTCCAAACTCTGTTCTCAATTCTAGCTTCCTGCTAATGTGTACCTTGGGAGGCAGTGGGGGATGGCTGAAGTGGTTGGGTCCCTGCCACCCACCATGGAGACCTGCATGGAGTTCCTGGCTTCCTGTTTTGGGCAAGCCCGGCTCCAGGTGTTGTACACATTTAGGGAGATGGAAGATTTTATTCTTTGTCTACCTTTCAGATTATATACATATATGTATATAAATATCTAAAACATTTTACATATGTATTTCACATATTCAATTATATTCAAATCATATATGTAAATATGTTTGGGGCTAATCTTACAGTCATGGAAAAAGGTGAGATAATACCTCTATCCACTTGCACTAAAGGATACTGACCTCTTGAGTAAGATTTTAAGAATGGCATATTCCAAAGGTAAATTCTATCCACAAAAGATTCATTTTTTTTCTTTGCATTTGGTAACTCTCAAGGAGATGAGTAAAAAGCAATGTAAGACTTAATAAGGATATCTTATGTCCTTATATTCATACATATTTCCCCTAAGTTGTACTGCAGCACATTTTAAGCCTGGGACAAGATAAAAAGGATGTGATGGACAAATCTGTTGGCATCATGCAGCAGCCATCACAGTGGATCCATCTGGTGGGGAGACCTCTGTCAGCCCACAGGTGAAGGCAGAAGAGTAAAGGCCCTTATGGGAGGCCCTGAGGAAATTGACCCAGGTGCGAGGACCCAGCGCTGTGCCTTACCACCCCTCTTCCCAGCATTACGTCTTAGCTCACCATCCTTCAAGCCTTTCAGAAGGACACAGATGCTCCAGTTAGGAGAGGGGAGAACTGATTGGCATAGGGTGGGGTACCAGATTCACTGGGAACATCAGCCGCCTGCTCTTTTTGCAGGCCACCATCAATCCACCTGGCAAAGCTGATTTCTATTGCACACCCACACACTCGACTGACTTTAACAGGAACTTGGAATTCTTCCCACTCAAATGAATCATTCTCAAGGAAGCAATTGTGTCACATTAGGTGGCTTCGCCCTGTTAAAGAAAGAGTTGCTCTGTGCCTGTCTTCATGGCTATTGCAAGACACGGGAGTCCTATAATCACAGGGCTGTCAAAAATGTTAACACTCTAGTAACAGAGCATAATAAAAATGACACAGGGGAAGTTGGCTTAGTGAAAAAACAAACAAAACAGAATACTTGTCTTATTTTAAGGGCCTTCCCTAGAAAATTAATCTCTACCCCTAATTTGCCTTTTTAAAAAATTAATGTTGGACTCATATGGAGTAGTACATTTTTTGTTGACACAGTCCTGAGTTTTTACAAAAATATAACAGTAATGTACACCCCACTTCAGTCTACATATGAAGCCAATCCTGCAGTTGACCAGAGGTCAGGGGATGACTTTGTAGCCACCCCTTTCTGTGCTCCTCACTCCCAGTTCTTAACAATCACTTACCTTCTGCTCCTATGTTTTTTATTCCACATGAATGGCAGACAAATGGAATCGTACAGTACATTAGTCTTATGACTCTGGTCACTCTGCCTTAGCATTTTGATTTGAAAAGCAACCAAGCCTCATTGCTTGTATCAACATTTGACCCTGTTTATTACTGAGTGATGGTCCACTATGCTGATGTTTGAGTGGATGTACTATAGATAGTTAATTCATCTACTAGTTTTTTTGTACTTTCTGAAGTGCATGAATGAAGCTGATAAAAGCATTTTTCTAGGGCCTGGTGGAGTGGCCTAGCGGCTAAAGTCCTCTCCTCGCCTTGAACACGCCATATGAGCCCCGGTTCTAATCCCGGCAGCTCCACTTCCCTTCCAGCTCCCTGCTTGTGGCCTGGGAAGGCAGTCGAGGACAGCCCAGGGCTTTGGGACTCTGCACCCTTGTGGGATACCTGGAAGAAGTTCCTGGATCCTGGCTTCGGATCGGCATAGCATTGGCCGTTGCGTTCACTTGGGGAGTATCATCGGACAGAAGATCTTCCTCTCTGTCTCTCCTCCTCTCTGTATATCTGACTTTCCAATAAAAATAAAATAAATCTTTTTAAAAAACCCCATTTCCTTTGGGTAAATGCCTGTAAGTTATGACTGGGTTGTATGGAAAATGTAATTTACCTCAATATGAGGTATGCAAACTGTATTCCAAAGGGACTATATCACTTTGCATTCTTACTGTAACCTATGTGCCACATCCTAGTCAGCACTTACTATTGTCAGATTTTTTTCCCTTATTTTTGACAATTTAATAGCATGAAATGGTGTTTAATTGTAGTTTTGGTTTGCATTTCTCCAATGAAGACCCATGTAGGTCTGCTGCTCCAGGAGTTGAACTCCATTTAATGTCAGGGGACAAATTTATTGTTAAGAGTCTTCATTTGCTCTTTCTATGGGAGGGCAGGGTCTGATGCTGGAGTCATCAGCTTATGGGAACTCAGCAGGCTGTGGTCCACTCTGATGCCTCCTACACCACTGGCGCAACTATAGTCCCTGATTGACCCAGGCTGATGCCCAGACCACCCTGGAGCCTACTTAAGCTGCCCAAGTGGGAGAAATTCAGGGAACTGATGCAGGCACTTGGTACACAAGTGGATAAGCAACTTTTTGAAGGCCAGGGGCTAGAAGTGGACACCCTGTAGGGTACCTGCCATACCAAAGTCAGGTGCCAGAACTACAGTTGGGTTTTCTACATGGATAGAAGAGATCCAAGCATTGGGCAACTATCTGCCCATCTCTTGGGCACATCAACAACAGGTTGGGTCAGAAAGAGTACAGTTGGGTCTCGAAACTTTGGTCCAACATGTGACACTGTAAGCAGTGCATTAATCAACTGTGTCTAATAGCTACCTTTTCATTTTTTTTTTTGTTTACAATCTATATGTAATTATCTCTTGTGAACTGATGGTTTACATTTTTGTCCACTTTAATTAATATCTGATTTTTAAAAATTATTCTGCTTGTCTTTTTATTATTTGAAGTTGCCCCTTTGTCAAAAGATCAATAGACAATGTATGTGCAGACTCTCTATTCTGTCCTATTCATATAGCATTCATTCTCTAATCACAAACTGTTCTGAAGACTGCAGCTTTATAACAGTTCTCAAAGTCACGTCGTGTGAATCCTCTAACTTTCCTTTTTAAAAAAATTTCACGGCTTTTTCTGGTTCCTTCGCTTTCCCATGACTACGGCTGATTCAACCTGTTAACTTCCATAGCAGCTAGACTTTTTATTGCAGTGGAATTGATTAATAATTGAAGTTATGAAGGGTTGATCTCTTAATAATACTGATTAATTAATAGGATTTAGAGCTACATAGTTTGTTTTTGGGGCTGTTGTAAACAATGATATTTTGGGATTTCAAAATGTTCATGGAAATGGAATTAAAAAATATGCTTACGTATAAGGAAAACATTTTGATGTCCATGCATATTTTTTACAGCATGGATTTTTCATGAATTTACTGAAAACTCCTCACACAAATGGATTTGAAAATGTTTCTGTCCTAGGCCTGCATTGTGGCACAGTGGGTTAGGCTGCTGTTTACAACACTGGCATACCAGATTGGAGGGCTGGTTTGAGTCTGGCTGCTCTGATTGGAAGCAGATTAGCTCCCTGTTATTGTATCTGGGAAAGAATCAGAGCATGGCCCAACTATTTGGTTTCCTGCCACCCAGGTGGGAAATCTGGAGGGAGTTCTGGCTCCTGGCTTCTGTCTGGGTCAATCTCAGTATTTGGAGAAATGAATCAGTAGATAGACGATCTTTCTTCTCTTCCCTCCCACTCCCCCCCCGGCTTGGTCACTTTGCTTTTGAAATAAAATAACATGAAAAAACATTTCTGCACCAGAATAAATTTATTTGTAATTCCATTCCTGGAACTTTTTTGAAGTACTCTCATATATAATAGATAAATGTAGTTTATTATTATTATTATTATTATTTATATTATTATATTTATTTTTAAAGATTTATCTATTTTCATTGGAAAGTCAGATATACAGAGAGGAGGAGAGAGAGAGGAAGATCTTCTGTCTGATGGTTCACTCCCCAGGTGAGTCGCAACGGCCGGTACTGCGATCCGAAGCCGGGAACCAGGAACCACTTCTGGGTCTCCCACACGGGTGCAGAGCCCCAAGGCCTTGGGCCATCCTGGACCGCTTTCCCAGGCCAGAAGCAGGGAACTGGATGGGAAGTGGAGCTGCCGGGATTAGAACCGGCGCCCGTATGGGATCCCGGTGCGTTCAAGGTAAGGACCCTAGCCGCTAGGCCACGCCGCCGGGACCCGTATTTTATTATTATTAATAGAAAAGCAGAGCAACAAAGAAAGGGAAAGACAAAGAGAGATCTTTGATCTGCTGGCTCATTCATCCAGTGGCTGCAATGGCCAGGAACTAGCCCAGGCTGAAGCCAGGAGCCTGGAATTCCACCCAAGCATCACACATGGGTGGCAGGGGCCCAAGCACTTGGGCCATCCTTTGCTGCTTTCTCAGGCACATTATCAGGAAGCTGGATCAGAAATAGAACAGTTGAATCTACAACCAGTGCCCAGATATGGGGTGTGGGCATTGCGTTTAGCAACTTAGCCCACTGCGCCACAATGCTGGCCCTACAATTGATCCTTGTATATGGACTCTCCTTTAATCTGCTAACATCAGAATAGGAGAATTTAAAGAAAGCATCCAGTGAATGTACTGGATTTAAACAAAGAAAATCAGATTTATGGAGCCTTGTCTCACAAGATGAGTGAAGCTGGAATCAGAGTATGAGTTTTCTGTGCTGCTTATTAGACTATAAGCTCTCAAAGGACATGAGGGTCAACTGAACAATGTCCTTTCAGGGGGCAATTCTTTGGTTGAGTCTTCAATTAAACAAGTTTCTTTTCTGCTCTGGATTACAAACAAAACAAAACAAAATAAAACAAAAACAACAAAACCCTCAATTTTTGATATCACAGATTCAGCTCTTGGTTATTTGGAGGGTTCTGGCCACCATCACATCCAAACTTTGCTACCTATTTTGCAAACATAGTTCAGCCCGATTCTACCATCCAGTTTCCAACATGCTTGGGTTAATGTTTCAAACTTCCATTTCATGTCATGTCATAGTGGTCATAGCCAAAACACCAACTCCTATTGGAACAATGTAAAGCAAAATGCAAGACCACAATGTGTTGGACTTACTCTAGCCAAATTTGTATGGTTATGAATGATTTGGAAATGATGCCTTCTGTTTTGTTTTGTGCATAAATCAAAAACAATCTCTTGTTAACTAGTTTCCCTTTATATCGTGTTGTACCAATTCCTTGTCTTTTTCAAAAGATCACATATTTAGTTGAAAGGCAGCATTACACAACTCCCTTCCCCCTCCCCCTGCTACACACACACACACACTCAGAGAGAGAGAGAGATCTTCTATCTGCTGGTTCATGTCCTAGTTGGCCACAATTGACACGGCTGGTTTATGCAAAGTCTGAAGCCCAGAGTTCCATCTGTGTTTCCCACAAGGGAGGGACTCAAGCACTTGAGCCATTTTCTGCTGCTTTCCAAAGCCCGTTAGCAGGAAGCTTAATCAGAATGGAAGCAGCCAGGACTCCGAATCGTGCTCATATGAAATGTTGGCATCGCAAGCGGTGGTTTAACTTGATGTGCCACAACACTACCCTAACTTCCTGCTATTAATGCATTATTTTGATTTTTTGGTTTTCCTGCAAATATCCAGGGAAAAGTTCTCCAGCTGAATACCACTGGGAGGCACATTATTCAACTGATCTGGATTACAATGTGTTTTATAATGTCAGTGCATTATTAAATGTGGGAACCAGTGAACAGTAATCTACTCAGCTATGGTAAAAATTTAAACATATCTATGTGTATATATAGAACATGCCTTTCTGTCAGGACAGGGAAAAGATAAATGATACCTTTCCAAGTACTGTCAGCTGCTGCACTAACAGATGAGCACTTTCAGTCTTCCCAGCACCACTTTCTCCAGAGATAACGATGCACTGCCCATTGAGAAAAGGAGATGTTAGAAGATGCTACCCTCCCAAATTCAGCCAGCAGACAAGAAACTAAGGGACGAGTTTCTAAAATGGTGAGACTATTCTTACCTGGTCTGAATTGTATGTTACCATAGACTGGTATCCTAAGTCAGCCATTGCAAAGATGTGGGGAGGATTCGCAGTTCTCTTAGCACCAATGTAGAGTCTGGAATGCTAAAGGGTAAAGAGAGTATTTGTGGCAAGGGGCTTTTGTTTTTAAATTATTTTTTGTTTTCAAAAATTTTAAATTATTTTCCATTGTACAGCTTTGTAGATATCAGGATTTGTCCCTTTTCCACCCCTTCTCTGCCCATTTCCCCTCCCATATTATTAGAGCATAATAGTCCTTTAGTACCAGTTTAACATTCTGCTCTTATAGTGCATCATGCCATTGTAGGTACAGGCCATGGTAGAAAATCTAGCATCATATTGTCAAGGTATATTTAACTGCTTCACTGGGATTCTTCTTTTTATTTGGGAGTAGAGATGCATACTGCAATGCATTTTCACTTCCTCCTATGCTAGTCTCCATTATATAGATTACCTATGAGAATATTTGTATGTACTTGTTCACCTATCTATTTTGTGTTTTGCATGAAGGTTGCCTTATATCAGAGAGAACATTAAGATTTGTTCTTTTGGTTTGGGCTTATTTCTCTGGTCATAATGGCCTCCACTTGGGACCATTTTGTTGCACATGGTAGGATTTCATTCATTTTAATGGTTGTGTAGTATTTCATGGAGTAGATGTGTCACAATTTCTGCATCCATTTCTCTTTTAAGGGGCATCTGGATTGTTTCCATGTCTTCACTATTGTGGATATACTGTTACAAATATAGGGCTGCATGTTGCTTTCTCATTCACTTCATTTGGATATACGGGATAACTGGGTCATAAGGTAGATCAATTTACAGTTCTCTGAGCACTCTCCATATTGACTTTATAGTGGCTGCACTAGCCTACACTCCTACCAGCAGTGGAGTAGGGTACCACTTTCCCTACATCCACCCAAGTAGGTATCATTAGTAGATTTTCATCTAAACCCTAGATTTATTTATAGGTGTAGTTCCAGTGTTTAAGGCAAAACATAAATAAAAATGACATTTCATATCACCAAAATATTATTACATACATGCCACACACATACATATAATTATATATGTGCACAAATCATGCAAGAGTATGGAAAACAAAGCTTGTTGTAAAATAGCCCAGAATTATGATATGACATAAAATGATACTACATCAGTCCTGCAGTGAAATTTAAAAGATTCTGCCTACAAGTTAAACATAGTATTTAACACTGAAAATGCCATTCTTTTTTTTTTCAGGATTATTTCACAAATAAGATAATCAGGTATCATTTTGTTAACTACTACAGGATATCCTGTCAGAAATGTGTCTGCAATTTCTTTCCTTTCACTTCCGCCTAGCATTCACTCAATGAATTTGCTTACCGTCACACAATTAATTGGCAGCAGAATGACATGAATGCCCAGCTTTTCTGAAGCTTAGGTCAAGCCTGACAGATTTACCATTCTACTTGTAAATTTTCAGGTGGTACAGGATAAGAGAGAAATACATCTCTCTTATGTATTTCTCTTATGTATGTATAAGGGATGTATTTCTCTCTTATCCTGTTTCTCTATTCTGTTTCTGTATTCTCTATCCTGTTTCTGTACTCTCTCTTATCCTATTTCTGCTATTGGGAGCAGACACTTGGTGCAGGGATTAATTAGCCATGTGAAGTCCCCATATCTAAAACCAGAGTGCCTGGATTTGATTCCTGACTTGACTGCTGATTCCAGCCTCTCTAAGGTGCTTGCTTGGAAGGCAGCAGTGATGGTTCCAGTAGCTGAGTCTCTGCCACTCACACGGGGAACCTGGATTGACTCTCTGACTCCTGGTTTCAGCTCAGCCTAGCATCAACTGTAGAGGGAATGTCGGGGGAAGGAACCAACCATCCATCTACATTTCTCTTTCTCCCTCTGCTTTCTAAACCAATAAAATGAATGAAAATTTAAGTAACCATTAGGCACAGTATTAAGCGATTTTCTAGGGTACACAGCTAGGAGAGGAAGCAGCTAACTGATAATGAGAAACAGTCTAGTTTAATTGCAGAAGATGATACTATATTTAAACCATTGGGGATTGAATAATTGGGAATTAAGTACCCATAATACACAGTATGTGATATCAGTGAAGCTGATCAATATGTCAGAGACTATTTAAGTTCATCATAGCAAAATTTATAGGCATTAGAATGTTTGTGCAAACACACACACAATGTGATTATCCTGTGATCTGCTCTCACTTGCTTCAGGAGGAGACATGATAAGTATATCATTTTGGCCAGATGTAAAGTTCATGCTGTTTTAGTCACTGGCTTAGTGACTTCACAAACAGCACAGAACAGTTACCAGTGGTTGGATGTATTAACATTCTGATAGATATTTTCAGAAAAAGGGAGATCATACACTATACCCATACTGACTTAATTTTCTGGTTTTCTTCTCTGTAAGTTTTAAAAGCAATTACAAAGCAGTGCATCCAAGGTACTGGACCCATTTTTTTTAATTGGTGTTGATTCAAACTAGGCATTGGCTAGTAGAAGGATGGGTACGAAGTGAGAGAACACCAGCCACACCACATACCTTTGTGGAATAAAGACCCAGATTCTGGAAGGGATTCAGGGCAATGAGGATGTCGCCCACATAGACGTAGATCTGATCTCTGGAATAACACTTCTCCAGTTGCTCTGATATGGTATTCTGAAACAAAACACATCACTTTTCTCTTCACCAAGGATGGTCAACGACAGGTTGGAAAGTATACAAGGAACAATCAAACATCTGGAATCTGAACCAAGCATTTGGAAGAAACAGGCAAATGATGAGGAAGAAATGTAGCATCAGATCTAGGGCCCTGTTTACTGGATGGGTCTTTTCTCTGGCTTTGAGACTCACAGAAGAATGGCATTTGCACAAAAGAAAGGCCATAGAAAGAAACCAACCTAGTGCTTTCTGATTTATAGTACTGGTAGCTATTGTGACCAGTGCAACTTACAATCCATAAGACTAGAAATTTACATCATTGGAAAATCTCGTATTTCAGGATTCAAAGTGGTGTCGGTGACTTTCGAGTTGCAGGTACTGTTAGACTCCAGAACGTGGGATGATTTTGGCAGACAGGATTTTGAGGAAGTCCTGGAGTTGTTGAATTAATGCTAATCTCACCCAAACGACTACTTCTATTCACAACACATCTCTATTTGCTGCCTCAGGCATGTATCAGAAGTGTTGAAAAATAAAAAGGTATTTATCAGGAAGGAGAGAAGTCTTCATCATTTATTAGAAATAAGCTATTTATTTCTCTTATTATCTGATTATCAGTGATAAAAAGGGAAAAGGGGGAAAGAAAGTTGAGATTGTAATTTACTGGCTTGGATTTCCATCTTCAGAAGAGATGCTTGAAGGATATCTAGGGAAGTCGGAATAAGGAACTGCAAACAGAATTCACAGCTATAGCAGGTGATCTGTGAGGGAGCTGAGCCTTTGTAATACTGGGAAGAAGACTCATACGCCTGGGTACTGCACCGAGAGCTGGAACAGGAGAGGAAAACAGGGCAGAAGACACAGGAAGCTGCACATTTTGAACACAGTGAATCACACCTGTGAGACCACCAGGAGGAATTAAAAGGGTAATCAATGACTTCACAACTCATGTCTGGGGGACTTCACTCCTCCACGGTTTGAGTCACAACAACAACAACCACCACAACACTTGACATTTTGTCTTGAAAAAGATGTGAGAAAGATGAAACTTCCACATATTATTCAGAGAACACCTGCCCACAAAACTGACATATATATATTTTAAATCTATAATGTATTAGTTCAATCAAACTGAATTCTTACCTCATCCAAAACTTCTAGGGTTGCTAAATCATCTACATCCTTAAGATTGGAAATTAAGGACCTGTTGAAGTTTCCTTTCTTGGTGTGAATCCGTTCGTGTCTGTGGAGAAAACCCATTTCTAATTCAAGGACTTGTTTCTTTTTTAATGAACCATGTATTTTTCTTAGAAGTGATTCTTTGAAATTGTTGCTTAGTGTCTAACAGTCATGTGTCTTTATGGGACGGAATGTACTATTAACACATGTTAAGTACAGACCAAGTAAACGAATGAGCCAGTCTTGCCACCCTTTATCTTTTCTTTGCATTTGGAGCCTAAAAGTTCCTTGTTTCTGTTCTTTTAAAGTATGGAGCACTGTGATTTATAATTCACATATATGAACCATTATGAGCAACTATGCTACAAGAATCCAAGAGCTTGTTACTTTCAGCTGCACTTTGATATTCATTAGTCAAATTCTTTCTGTTCTCTCACCTTTCACCGGTCTAAATTCAGACTGAATGTTTTTAAAATTCCTATACAAAAGACAGAATACACATCATCTGTCTCTCTAGGTCTGCATTATTCACATAAAATAAATTAATGATCAGTTCCATTTACTTTTCTGCAGATGTCAAGATCTCATTCCTTTTTATGGCTGAACAATATTGCATTGCATATAAATATCACCATTTGCTCACCCATTCATCTGTCAGTGGGTATCTATGTTGATTCAATACCTTGGCTGTTACAAATAGTGCTTGTATGAATATATCAGTGCTAGGATCTCTTCCATATGCTGATTTGCACTCTTATCAATAGTGTATAAGGGTTCCTTTGTCATCTTAGTGTCACCACCATTTACTATTTCTACTCTTTTTGATCATGGCCATTGTAACTTAGGGTGAAATGATACCTCATGGTTTCGTTTGCATTTCCCTGATGTCTTGTGCTACTGAACGCTATTTAGTTGATTTATTGGCTATCTGTATTTTGCCTCCTGAGAAGTGTCTGTCCAATACCTTGCACAGTTTTTAAGTGGATTGTTTTTTGCTTCCGAGATCAAATGAGATCAGGCACGTTCAGGGTGGTATGGCCGTAGACTGGATTGTTTTTTGTTGTTGAGAACTTATTGGTCCTAGTAGAGGTAAGGTTTAGACACATGTGGCTGAAAGAATCCCGTGAGACTGCAAAACTCTCAAGATGTTATTTACTTAATTCAGTGTCATTTACAGAAAATGCCCTAAATTGATTTTGGCTTTTTTGTTTGAATTCTCCCTCCCCATTGGAAAAATTCCAACATGTGAAACTTACTTCCTGGGTAATCAAAAAAGCCCCTACTTGCTATCAAGAATTATCTTTTAGTTGTCTTAAAGCTTTCTCTAAGTTCTTTTTAAAAAAATTTTACTTATTTTTATTGGAAAGGCAGAGTTACACAGAGAAAGACAGAGAGAGAGAGAGAGAGAGAGAGAATCTTTCAATTTGCTGATTCACACCACAAAAAGCTGCTGCAACATTCAGAGCTAGGCTGGTCTGAAACTAGGAACCAGGAGCTTCTTCCAGGTCTCCTACATGGGTTCAGGGTCACAAGCACTTAAGCCATCCTTTACTGATTTCCCAGGGCATAAGCAGGGAGCTGAATAGGAAGTAGAGTAGCTGGGACTCAAACTAGTACCTATGGAATGCTGGTACCACAGATGGTGGATTAGCTTGCTAAACCATGGCATCAGTCCCTCTAAATTGTCATGTGTGATTTGATCTGTTGCCAACTGGTGAGTCATCAAGATTTGAATTTGTTATGTTTCCTTTGTTTGTTTGTTTGTTTTTGGTCTGAGGTGGTACCAAGTCATTTGATGGTCATGATATGGTAATTTTAAAGAATTACAATTCAGTGAAATTCAGCAGGAATATAACATAAGCCATATTTTAAAAGTCCAAAATGTCAAATTTATAAAATCAATTTCAAGCATAATAAAATTTCTTTTCAAAGGGAAACGTTGCAGGAAGTTTTAAAAATAGTGTGAAGATCTTGATTAAATGTGATGGCTTGAGAAGTTGCTGCGATGCACAGGGTTTGTTTAGACTTTTCCAGTTACCCCTTTTATTTTGCACAGAATTGTAATGTCAGTGTTCATTTGGGTGCATACTTTTAAGCCTCTGAATTAATCCACTGGTGGAAAGGGGAAGGACTGTGAAGAGCCACTGGTACTCAGAAACAACAGTTTCTCGTTGCTTGGAAAGTCAAGTCTATTATTCATCTGTTCCATCTGCTAAGGCGAACTGCCGCTTTTCTCATCAGCTGCCGTTCCCCCTCACTGACCAAAGTTCATGTCTCCTACTGTAGGAGGACATTGTGAGCCTGGAAGGCCAGCGAGCACAGGTTTACAGTTCATTGGGCAGTATTTGCATGGAAACAACCAAATGGCTATCTCTTGCATACCTGTTGGGAGATAGTTCCCATGAGTCGAGTAAACAGCATGTAAATGAGAACACCTAGCGCGATGTAAAGACTAAAGGAATTCCAATCTAGAGTGCGAAAACAGTTGATGGTTTTGTTTATGAGCTCGATACTTCCTCCCCTACCCAATACGGACTTTCAGAGTATAAAGTCTGATGCCCCTAATAAACTTCGGTTTTGACCATCAGTCAGGGTCCACGCGTGTTATTATCGGCTCCGTGCACCAAGTCCGTCGCTGCGGGACAGCGGCATCCTACTGGTTCTTCTCTCTTGCCTACATCACTGGCTGTTCCTTCTCACTGTTCTTAACTGATGTTTTTAAGTCAACATGATTCTTACCTGGTTTATGGCAATCACTGAGATTTCTTTAATATCAGAAATGTCAGGTCTCTGATCAGTCCCTCTCTGTGTGTCACTCAAAGTAAGGACTGTAGAATCCAATCCCAGTCCACCCTGCTGTTTCCCTCCTCCACCCCAACTCTGTCTTCTGGCAGTGCCTCTAGCACCCAGAGCACTGGAAGGCTCTGTACTGACTCATCTCTCCCACACGACCAATGTCACAAGGCTAAAGTAGCTCCCTGGATGGTGAGGGTTGAGTGGACAACCACTGAAAACTTTCTTTTTCTTTTTTTTTATCAGACACATAAAAATTGTACTAATTGGGGCAATTAGTACTAATTGTACCAATTGCAGTAGCCTAGCAGCTAAAGTCCTCTCCTTGCACATGCCGGAATGCTGTATGGGCACTAATCCCAGCAACCCTGCTTCCCATCCAGCTCCCTGCTTGTGGCCTGGGAAAGCAGTCAAGGATGGCTCAAAGCTTTGGGACCCTAAACCTGTGTGGGAGATCCGGAAGAAATTCCTGGCTTCTGGCTTCGGATCAGCTCAGCTCTGGCTGTTGTGGTCACTTGGGGTGTGAACCATCAGACAGAAGATCTTCCTCTCTGCCTCTCCTCCTCTCTGTATATCTGGCTTTCCAGGAAAAATAAATAAATCTTTAACAAAAAATATATTAATTGATGGGGTGTCAGGTGATGTTCAGATACACATGTAATGTCAGTCACAGTCAGATGGAAGTGAGAAGTTCTGTCTGCCATTTTTAGCATTTAACAGAGCCCTCAGTTCTTCCTGACTTGCTCTATTTTTCTTTAGCATTCACCACTTCTTATTTATTATATGTACATGCATGGTCTTCACTTTCCTACAGGCTTGTCAGCTCCAGGAAAGCAAGATTTTTGTCCCATTTCTGAAAATACTTTATTTGCTGACTGATACACTTCATACTTCTATATTAGAGTCCCACAAATAGTGGATGAGTGGAATGCATTTCTTGGACAAAGAAGTGAAACCTTTCATTTTACTGAATGTTCCTTGGCCGTGAGACCAGAGGAAATCTCTTCCTATGTTTTCTATTCTAGTTATAAGCAACTGAAGTGCTGAAAGAAAGTTTTATAGGCCCTCCTAAATGGATCCAAGGACCAAACTCCTTGATTCATCTTCTGACACCTTTTCAGGCACATGAGCAGCAAACTGAATTGGAAGTGCAGTGGTTAGGACTCAAACTGGCACTTGGCTCTGGGCTACCAGCACCAGAGCAGAGTGTCTTAACTCACTCACTGTTCTACAGCAACAACCCTTTCACTCACGCTTTAACTAAAATCTTCACTTATAAAATCCTTCCTCTTTCGTATGTATTTCTTTAAATATATGCTTTTTTATTTTCCTGGACTACAGACTTAGGTATGTAGTCATAAAAAGTTGCAGCAACATTAGAAGGAAGGATCAGGTTGTAGGAATGATGCATGGAAACCAACGGAAATCTCTCCCAAGTCAGCTGTGTATCTAAGCTCTTGAGTTAACTAGAAATATCTGTAATAGTGATTTCTCTACAATTTTCTGTGTAGATTCTGAAACATACAAAATCAATGAAATCCAGGGAGATTATATCTATCTATATTTATATCTATACTCTATATAGGTATAGATGTAAATATCGATGTCTTCTATGTGTGTGTGTATCATACATATTCCTGAATGGTACTCTGTGCTTTATAAGATGGTTATGATCACATTTAAACAAGTTATTTATATATTCATTTAAATGACTGAGTTACAGATAAAGGGATTGAAAAACAGAGATACAAAGAGGAAAGCAAAGAGGGAGAAAGAGAGGAAGGGAGGAAAGAACAGAAAGAGAGATACCCTATTGGCTAGTTCAATCCCCATATCCCTGCAAAAGCAAGGGGCCAAGGTCAGGAACCAGTAGCCTAACCCCAGTCAGTCAGATCTGTGGTGGGAACTTAACAGCTTGAACCAGCACTGTTGCCTGCAGGGTCTGCATTAGTGAGAATCTAGAATCAGGACTTGGGAATTCTAATAGGGTGACCTGTTTTTGTAGGTGATGAAATGAAACTGGCAATGAAACTGTCTTTGCAAAAGCAATTGGTGGTTATTCTCTATTTGCTGTGAATTCTCAGTACCTTTCTTCTCTTTATTTGCAGCTTAAAGATAGGGGAAAGCAGCCCAGAAGAGAGTGTCTCTAAGTAGAATCTTTTTGTAAAGATGAAGACTAGACTCTACCACTGCTAATACTTACATGTCAAGAGTAGAATGTTGAAGTCGATACCACAGCTGAAGGGCGGTATTATTGTAAAACACATGGGG